GTTTGTATCGAAATAACTTACTTGTCAACAAGTGAAGGACGAGCATCAGATGCCAGTGGGTTTGTTGCAACCCTTGCCTATAGCTGAGTGGAAGTGGGAGCATGTCACGATCGATTTTGTTGTGGGCCTTCCAAAGACTCAACAGGGTAGTGATACCATTTGGGTGGTAGTTGACCGGTTAACCAAGTCTGCGTACTTCATACCTATGCGCGTGAATGATTCGGTAGACTATCTTGCCGACTTGTATATCAGGGACATAGTGAGGTTGCACAGGGTCCCTGTGACGATTGTTTCAGATAGAGATCCGCGTTTCACGGCTCGACCGTGGCAAAGCTTGTAGAGTGCCTTGGGCACTAGATTGACCTTTAGTACTGCGTATCCTCCTCAGACCGACGGGCAGTCCGAACGTACTATTCAAATCCTTAAGGATATGCTCCAAGGCTGTGTCCTCGATTTCAAAGGGTCATGGGAGAGGCACCTGCCCTTAGTGGAGTTTGCCTATAACAATAGCTTCCAATTGAGTATTGGCATGGCATCATTTGAGGCCTTGTATGGTCGATCTTGTAGATTTCCGGTGTGTTGGGACGAGGTGGGTGATGCATCTTTGTTGGGCCCAGAGTTGGTTCGGGAAATGATGGAGAAGGTGACACTTATTCGTAAAAGGTTGGTTACGGCTCAGAGTCGCTAGAAAAGTTATGCTGACCGTAGGAGAAGACCCTTGTCTTTTGAGGTGGGAGATCATGTGTTTTTGAAAATATCACCTAGATGGGATTTGATGAGATTCGGGAAGAGTGGGAAGTTATCCCCTCGATTTATTGGGCCTTTTAAGATCTTTCAACGAGTCGGAGAGGTTGCCTATCGTTTGGCGTTGCCGCCACAACTTTTCAGAGTGCATGACATGTTTCATATTAGTATGCTTCGGAAATATGAGCTGGATCCATCACACATGTTGGATTAGACCGGCTTAGAGGTTGATGAGAATGTCTCCTAAAAGGAGAGACCGGTGAGAGTCTTGGATAGACGGGACCAAATCTTGCGAGGCAAGACAATTCCCTTAGTAAAGGTATTGTGGAAACATCACGGAGTTGATGAAGCGACTTGGGAGCGTGAATTGAAAGTCCGAGAGAAATATTCAGAGTTATTTGTTGATGTTTAATTTTGTATTGAGATTTCGACTATGATGATGAAAAGTATATAAGCATTTTATATGTTTAAATTATGAGAACATTGTATATGTTGTTTATGTTTTGGAAACATGAGTTTATTATAAACATTGTATGTTTAAGAATATGGGATATCATATGTATTATACCACTTTGGAAGCATTGTATATGTTATGTGGAATTTTGAAAACTTGGACCTTGATTTAACATTGCAAATGTTTGGGAAATTGTAAAATGTACTTTCAATGCTGGACTTGTGTATCGAGTCAATGAGGATGGGTAACCGAAGAATGGGTCATGGTGGTGAACTTACAAAAATAAATTGTTGGGGATGGTTTAATTATGTTTTTTTTTTTAGCTTGGTTTGTAATTTTGGGGACGAAATTCTTTAAGGGGGGGAGGTTATAGTGATTCCGATTTTGACCTATCTTTTGTTGTAATCCGAACTTGGGTTGTTTGGTTTTGAATGATGTCTTATATCTTGTTTCCCTTGTCTTCCCTTTATTTTGGTTTTCGGATTGAAATTGTGTGTTTGGAACAGGTTGGTTGTTGTTTTTCCAAACCTTCGTTGCCCAAATTTTGGCTCTTCCGCTCGAGCAGGATTTTTCGACTTTTAGTATTTTTGGCAGACTTGTAAATACTGGGAGGATGCATTTGACGCTCGAGCACCGTTTCCTATGCTCGAGCGAGTAGGTGCTCGAGCAGCGTTTCCTACGCTCGAGCGAGTAGGTGCTCGAGCGGCCCTTCCTGTGCTCTAGCGGTTTGTCTATTGTCTGCAAAGTTCTGGAGGTGTGTATTTTGCACTCGTGCACGTCTCTTCTTGTGCTTGAACGGAACAAATCTTTGTGTTTGACGCTCGAGCGTAAAACTCTTCGCTTGAGCGGACCGCGCGTATATCAGATTGCGAAAAGCACTTTTTACATCACTTTTTCAAATTTATCTATCTAAAAACCCTAAAGTGAGACCCTCTCTCTCTAAAATACTCTCTCTCTCTCTAGATTTCCACCTAGTTCTAGTGGTTTCTCAACCCTTGTGCCTTCATTAAAAAGGTAGAGCTCCTCAAACTCTTCACTTTGATCTGAGTAGAAATTGGTTTCGTCATTTTTGAAGTTTCATCCTTGCTTGGCTCATCTTCTCTCTTTGAGGTAGAGATTTTCTATACTTTGTTATGATTTTTAACTTAGTCATTTATGGTTGTGTAACAATGGTGGGAGTTGGGAGTAATTTAAGCAAACCTAGGGTTTGGGAAAAATACAAAAGAGGGGTTTTTGGTGGAAATGAAATAAATGAACTTGGGGTTTGAAAATGAAGTCTTGTTGTATCAAAATGAGTGATTTTGGTACTTGGGTTAATATTTTGAAAATGGGGGATTTGTGCCCTAAAATAACTATCATATCTATTTTGTATAAATAGTTGAAATTGATGTTGTAAACTTGGAATTAGACTAGTATTGAAATGGATGGTGAAATTGAATAGATGATATGTCTTATCTTTGGAAATTTTGAATAAATTATCTGTCTTAGGATTGTATATCTGTTTAGAAATATCTGTATTAGGCTATCGATGGAGGATAGCTTTGATTATTATAAAAATTACATGTGGATTAGGTGAATTGAAACTATCCCATGGTTAATTATCATTGAATATGATCATGTTGTAAATACATTGTATATGTATATTTATTTGAGAGGAGAAAGGGGATGTACTCTATATGTGTGATTATGTGTTTAAATACATTGTATATGTATGATTATGTGGGAGGAAAAAGGGAATGGACTCTATTATAATTAAGTTGGTTGGAGTGTCCTGGGTAAAAGTCCCGAAATCTATACATGGGTGCCGATCCTGCAGACGAAATATTCGCGAAATGGCAAATTGAAATCTATACATGGGTGCCGATCTCGCGGAGGAAATATCCGTGAAATGGCAATTGGAAGTGTTATGTGTTGATTGTGAAATTGTTGAATCATTGAGTTGTAGTCTCATTTGGGTTATTGAAAAATACTGAAATTGAATCATATACATTGAAATGAATTGGAAGAAAATGAAATGGAATATGGAATCGGTATTCGATGGCAATATATAGTATGAATGTTTTGTCCCCGGCATTGTATATGCACATGTACTTATATATTTGTTAAATCTCATATATTGTGTTAAATTATACCTACTGGGCTATGGTTCACCTTATTTGGGAAGAAATATTTTCAGGTAATGATGGCATGCCCCCACCAAGGAAATAACATTGGAGGGGTCTTTGGAAAGCAAGAGCTTCTTATTTTGTTTTATTTTTGTATAGCTTAGGGCTAAATCTATATGAGCTACTCTCCTTTTGTTGTAACCAAGCCAAGACTTGGAAAGGTGTAAGCCTGAAGGGCATTTATTTATGATAGACTCTTTTAAGTTATTAACTTTATGTAATGAAAGGACTATTTACACTATGATTTATGTTGTTATATATATGCTTCTGGGTTGTATTTGTCGTATTATTTTGAGGGCGTTACAACAACTTGCTCTGTATCTGTTTTGTTAGCGCTAATGGATGTACCACGTATGACTATCTGTGAAATCTGATTGTGAATATGAATCTGTTTCTAATCTGAAATCTGTTTTCTGAATATATTATGGACATCATTAATTAAAATCCTTATTTTGTTGTTGTTCATTGGTCGTCAAATCAATGAATTGAAGTATGTGAATTGCATGATCAATGTGTTTTATGTATGGATGTTAAGAGGTCAATTTTGAGATTCGTTTGTGTTATTGGTCAGTACCAAATAGCTTTTGATGACCATATAAACTATGATGAAATTACCAATTGGGGTTATTGACCAACAAATAAATTAAATGAGTTGAACTCCTGTGATGAGAATCAAATGGAATAGACGTTACTCGAGAACAAAAATTTAAATGAGAAAAGCTTTGTGGTTGATTTATGGTACAAGTGTCTTAAGTTTGGAGGACCAAACTTTCTAAGGGGAAAAGAGTGTGACAACCCCACTACATATTATATTTGGCATTGAGTTATTTAAGGAGATTTGGATTTTAATTAGTCGTTATTCTGATTTAATTTGGGATTTACGAGGATTATAGAGCCCAATCGGTAAGTGATTTTAATGATGATTTATTTTGAGAATAAAAATTGAAGGTCCTAATGGCCTAAGGAAGTGAAATTAATAAGTTGAATCAATTTAATTTTAAATACAAACCCATTTGTGAGTTTAATTAATATTTGGTTCAGTTTTGTAAAATCAAGATTTGATTAATTGGGTCCAAATTGGAGTCAATTAAGTTAATTATGTTATAAGGTTTCAGAAATTATGATTATTATGAATTAAATCTATTTATGAGGTATCCAATTTGAATATGTAATTTATTGACGGAAATTTTAAGTTTGATTAGAAATTGAAGGCGTAAATGATTTGAGAAAGTAAAATTGATGATGGAAATAAGTTTAATTTAATATTTGGAGCTTTTTAGGAGTTTAATTAAAAATCTGATTCAGATTGGTAAAAGCTAAATATAATTAATTGGGCCTTAATTGAAGTCAATTAGACTAATTAAATTATGTGGATTCACGATTAGTTATAATTAATTTAATTATGTGTTAATCAAGATTTATTAAGATTAAGTGATGCTTAATTAAATTAATCAATTACATTAATCCTAAACATAAATTAATTTACGAAAGAATCTAGAATTAAGGGTGTAAATGAGCGTGGGTGTATTCAACAAATTAGTGGGTGTGTGTGCATGTGTAAGGCTGAGGACAAGGGGTGAGTTGTGTATGTGTGTGCTGGTCAGTTCAAGAAGAGGTGTACTTTCATTGGGCTCAAAAACAAACATTTGGAGAAGTAAAGAAAAAAAAAAAAAAAAGAAGTGAGAGAAACAGAGAGAGAGAACCGAAAGAGAGGAAGAAGTGGACTCAATTCTTTTTCTTCTTCAGGAAATGTGTTTGCTAAATACGATTTAGAGAGGGACAGAAGAACTGAGAGAGAGAGAGAGAGAGAGAGAGAGTACTCAAACCACTGTGTTGTAAAAAGCTTTGGAGAAGTGGGTTCAAGAGATCTAAGGAAGAAAAGAGAGGGAACTCAAGGAATCAAAAAAAAAAATTCAGCCATTGAAGACTTAAGGTAAGGATTTCAAGCATGAATTTTGTGGAATCCTTGTATTATACTTGAATTAAAGATGAGTTTAGGTTCAATTTCATATAATTTGAAAGAAATTAAGTCAGGTTCATGGTTATGGAAATAAGTTATTTCGGGTTTGATGATATAGTCTTGCGTGGAATTAAACCTAATTGTTACATGCTTGGGCAAATTCTACAAGTTTAATGTTCGAATTAAACATGCATCATAGGATTTCAAGGTTTTGAGATTTTATTTCATGTTTAAAGGTTTATGGGTTTGGAATTGGGTTTGATATGAAAAAATTAATAAAAATCCAAATTAGAGCAATTCTAATTAAACTTATTTAGTTTTGATCTTAATTTCATACATGCAAAGTTTCATAACTCCAATTTCATGATTTAAAGGAAAATAGAAAAGAGTAAAGAATCAATTTCATGTAATTTAAAAGAAATTAGTGAAAGGATGAAGGAATTGCGTTAAATTCAATTGTAGAAATTAAATTAGAATTGATCATTTTGTGGGTTTGATTTTGTTGTCTTTGAAGGATTGATTTCACATAATGAAGAGAAAAACGAAAGTTTTGTAAACACAAGTTTATGAAAATTTGGAGCTTAATCTTGAATTAAAAGAGTTTGAATGTAAATGGTTAGAAATTAATCATGTGTTCTTGATAGTTAAAAGAGATTATATATGGTTTTAGCAAAGTTGTACAAGACCCCAAGTATGGAAATGCAATCTGGAAGCTCAACTTTTTAGCTTTGAAAACCCATAAGGTGGGTTGAGCAAATATTATGAGCTCCCAGTATTTTTACAGAGCTTTGCATACCGCTCGAGTGACTAAATGTGTGCTCGAGCGAGAAGAGCCTTGTTTTAGAAAATTTTGAAAAGCTATTTCATGTTCCGATTTTCGTTTTTTTTATTTTATTTCTAAGCACTCTTAGGCATACATTGGGCATTATAAATGAATCAAAAGAGTAAAAAAGAAGGATAAGAGAATTAAACAAGTTAAGAACGGAATGAATTGTATTGTGACCCGATTTCTATGTGTATTATGAATTGTCTAGGTCAACTACATGGGTGAATCAGGCATCTGAACACTGCGAGTAATATCTTAGTAAAGATATGTTTAAGTATGTTATCTTCCAAATGGTACTTCTGTATAAGCTTTATGGATTTTTATGTTTGAATTATGAATGAGTATTCCAAATGTTAGTCTTTTGCATAAGTGTAGCTCGACTTTCTTTACGGCCCCTTTCGGAGAGCTCGAATTGGTCTTACAGTTCGGACTCCTGTCACGGTTCTGAATCTAATCTCAGAAAGTGCAATGTGAGATTGATAAACACCAAAGAGTCCAATCCGGAAAATCATTTTGGAAAATCGATTTTAGATTAAATAATGCCAAAACTGGACTGCTTTTCTAGATTACAGAGTCGCCACCTAAATATTTTGTTTTTGGAAAATTTAGGAAACCCTGACTTGTGCCAAACGCCACGTGTCCGTCATCACCAAAGTTACCTTGGCTCGGGAACTTGGGTACGAGAGGGGAAGGTCCTGAAATGAGGACCCCCGCTCGCCCGATCAAAGATCGGCCTCTACTAATCATGATATGTTGTTTTATAAACACGTGTTCTTATTCCGGTTATTAGCTAACATTACTATGTGATGCACACAAGCAAGTATAGACTAAAATCGCAAGAATTGGAACATTTCAACTCATGTTTGTTTTCGAAAATGGTTTGAAATTGCCACCCTCAGGTGGGCTAAAACGGGGATTTGCCACCTCAAGTGGGCTTAAAACATGATTTGCCATTTCGCAAAGTGGGCTTAAAACACACATTTGATGAATTGTTCCAATTCAAGCAACAAAGCCTTCATCCACAGGCATTCATGCAGTTAATCACTTAAGCAAATAGCCTCATGGCAAGCATGTTAAACATGGCATCACTCACACTCATGCAAGTATGCTAAAGCATAAAACTTACCGAGTACTCCAAGCTAAAACAAAAGCTAGTTAGAAAACAATGCATGATCCTAACTATACAAGATGCCTAATGCAACACATGCAATAATGCAATGAGATAGGCTCAGCTACCTAATCATGGTATATGATACAATTTGATAACATGCTTTGAAACACGTATTCAAAGAAGTATTGAAATTACAATGCAATTTGAATGATGTGCCGAGCCTCGGTGCATGCAAGACAAATGAATGATGCAAACATGCAAGCCACTCAAGTAAATCAAGTTTAGAGGCCTAAAATGTCAAGCTAGTGAAGCCATTTGTACTACAACCATGCAAGACAAGGCTCATATGAGAAAGACAACCCAAAATAGAGTTAAATCATGCCAAATCAGTAGCTAAAACATGCTGAGATCAAGTCACAAAAAGGTAAAAAAAACATGCTCACATGCTAGGCTATCTACACTTGCAAACAAGACACAAGGGAGGGGAGGCCACTCCCTCCTATTTTGGACTTCAAAACATACTTTCTACCACTGAAATAACTCTGAATTTTAGTGGTTTAAAGGGCCAAAAGGTTTGGTTTGAATATGCTAAAAGATGATGCAAGAAGCTTCACAATTAGGCAACAAGAAGGGTGGACTACCCCTTTGCACAAAATGACCTCAAACCAACATGTTAAGGCCCAAAAATCAGAGTTTTTTGTAGTTGAAAATCAGGCCAAAAATAGTGTAAAAAGATGGCAAAGCAAGCAACTAAAACAAAGCTTACAAGGCAAGTCCTTTACCTCTTGAAGCACAGCACAAAATCAATCACAATTCTAAGCTTAAACCACCCTTAGGAGCTCAAACTAAGCCTCAAAGAACCTCAGCTCCCAGATGAAGATGTTTGGTTAAGGGTCTTACTGCAAAAGTGTAGAGAATTCTCACTTTCAAGCATAAAATAGGGAGAGAGAGAGAGAGGATTCTAGAGAGAGAGAGAGAGAGGACATTTGCTCACAAAATTATCTAACCTCTCAAATGGGGGAGAGACCCCCCACTATATAGAAAATCAAGCCAAGGGCTTGCATTCATCCTTCCATACACATGTATGGAGATGGCATTCAGTGAACAACAGCTGGCACAGCTGGCTAAGAAAATATTTGAAAAAGGAGAAAAATGGCCGTCGGCCACGGCCACCTCTGCTAGCCGACCGACCACTTAAAGTGGCCGACAAGGCCCTTCCCCCCTCCAGGCAAGAGGCACCAAGGTTTAGCTTAAAAACAAGGACAAAACAAAGAGGGTTTAGAGGCTCAAAGACAAGGCGTTCCGCCGAGAACTTCAGGCACTCAAAACGAGCACAAACAAGCACAATCATCGAGCGCACAAACGATGACGTCAAAGTCGTGAGGTCGGTCAAAAATGGGGTGTCTACAGTTGCCCCTCTTTGACAGAACTCGAAAGTCATAAAATGACGGAGTGAATGTCAAAGCCCAGAGACGACCCATTTTTGACAAGGCCGAAGATTTAGACAAACAGGCAAACAAAACAAAGAACGGTTGCGCCCGCAGGCTGCCTACGTATCCCTTTGTAAGGAATAAAACCAGCGTAGTTCTGGGGCAAGAAGCAAATGATATGCACGATGCAGAACATAACTTATGATCATGCAATGACGGCTGTAATGAAACATCTAGATGCAAATGTTATGCAAAGAAATGCTACAGCAAACTTATACATAAGCAAGTTATCATGAACCAAACGACATTTCATGCAGAAAGGATGTAAAAAAATTATGCAAGCTTAACTACGCATCACGCAGGAAAGATAAAGAACCACAACTGTAGGGCGCACCCGAGGCAGCAAACAACATTCCAACATATGGCACACGCGAGGAAAGAAGTAGTGATAACAAGTGAAACACATCCAACCATTATGCAATCAAAGTAAAGAGCGGTATAAGCATTGGAATCCGTCCAGATGCATTTAACCAAAGTGTCCTAATGCGCCGCGCGCGAAAGGGAAAAGACAGCGGTGCAAACACCGGAGAGTGGTATAAACATCAGAGCACATTCCAATGTTTTTAACCAAAATAGAGTGGTATAAGCGTTGAAACATGTTCCAAACGTTTCTTATCGGAAGGGTGGTATAAACATCGGGCACACAACCCAATGTTCCTAACCAAAGAAGGTAGTGGTATAAACACCGGGCATACCCGAGTGTTTCTAACCAAAGCAAGGTATAAACATCAGGCACACAACCCAATGCTTCTAACTAAAGAAGGGAGTGGTATAAACACAGGGCGTACTCGAGCATTTCTAACCAAAAACAAGGTAAAAACGTCAGGCACACGACCCAATGCTTCTAACCAAAACAAGGTATAAACATCGGGCCTACGACCCAATGTTTCTAACCAAAGGAGGGAGTGGTATAAACACCGGGCGTACTCGAGTGTTTCTAACCAAAAACAAGGTATAAACGTCGGGCACACAACCCAATGCTTCTAACCAAAACAACGTATAAACATCAGGCCTACGACCCAATGTTTCTAACCAAAGGAGGGAGTGGTATAAACACCGGGCGTACCCAAGTGTTTCTAACCAAAAACAAGGCATAAACGTCGGGCACACGACCCAATGCTTCTAACCAAAACAAGGTATAAATGTTGGGCACACGACCCAATGCTTCTAACCAAAATAAGGTATAAACGTCGGGCACATGACCCAATGCTTCTAACCAAAACAAAGTATAAACATCGGGCCTATGACCCAATGTTTCTAACCAAAGGAGGGAGTGGTATAAACACCAGGCGTACCTGAATGTTTCTAACCAAAAACAAGGTATAAACGTCGGGCACACGACCTAATGCTTCTAACCAAAACAAGGTAGGTTTAAAGGATAGGAATGATCTTACCTGGAGTTCCTTTGAATAAACCATGCATACAATATCGTCTGGTTGCACTAGCTTTGAATGAACTGTACATACAATATCGTGCCTGCACAAGAAAGAAACTTTGACAAGTACAATACAATAAGAATGTATGTTCTATGCAAGACGAATAATCATGACACAACGCTTAGAGAGGCATGCTTCATGCACATCATGCGAGGAACAAAACAGAAGCATATTCTATGCAACGAAACATGGAGCATGTCCTATGCAACACCGAATGCATGTTCAATGCAACAGGTACGAACATTTTCTATGCGAATGTAAGGGCATGCACAATGCAATACAATGCGACATGCATATTCTATGCAAATATAAGAACATGTGTAGTGCAACGCAACGCATCGTACATATTCTGTGCACAATAACAATGAACATTCAATCCAACATCAATAGCATGTTCAATGCAAAACACTGAATAAAGAAATGGGCGTCTTAACAAGACCGATTCAGTTGCAACCTCCGATTTACCTCTCAGAGGAATTACAATGTATTTCAAAAGGATACACCTCATTCATGCCGGCTGACAATGAGTCATGCATCGAAGACATGAGTTGAAACTTCCGCAGAGACACTTTGAGTTGAAAAATGAACTTTTCTTGCACTTTCTGGAGAGCCAAGGACACAAAACAACATATAAACACACAGGGAGAATATTGAACACCTGCCGGCCACCATAAGGCTATGTCGACTACCTGAAAATTATGTCGGCCACCTAACTAGCCGGTCAGCCACAAAAACTTGCCGGTCAGCCAGTTGTGGAATTTCTGGGCTATTTTGGTCTTTTGCATGGGGATCTTTAAATACACATTCCCAAATCACATTTCTTCACACCTATAGTGCCGAAATTGTCTCTTCTTCATCCCTAGACACTTTTTCCTCCTAGATCCGTGCTTTACATGCGTTTTCCAACGCCCCTCGCGAAGTTGATTCGCTAAAACCTTTCAATTTCCTTCGTTTTGAATCGATTAAAATTTGTTTTTGGAGTTTTTTTCTTCATTTTCACCACTTGAGGTTTGTTTCCCTCAAGTTTGTCTTGAGTTTGGCGCCTTTTCTCAGGCTTTGACTTTTTCTCCCATTTTCTCTCTCCGAGAGTTGACTTTTGGCACTTTTCACCTATTTTGCTCATTTTCGCCTACTTTCTCACCTTCTTTCCAGATGGCAGATGACGCTCCCCACGATGGAGGTTCTCCAGGGATGGAAGGAGAGCTTGAGTACATACCGTTTCCGCCCAGAGTGCGACCTTTTGACCCTGAGAGGTACCGCCCGAGGCACATGCATTACCATCCAGTACAGTCCGTCATTTCAGCAGATTTGCATGACACGCACCAGCAGATCTCCTGCTACGAGAGCTAGATTCTCACCTGTCCCACGGTGCCTCTGAGGTATGCACTGTATTCTCACATTTCTACGATGCACTTTTCATTTCTTGTATAGCTCGCACTTTTGCATTGTATTTTATCTGCTCATTCTGAACACATTCATACATTGTATTTCTGCTCATTCTGAACACATTCACACACTGTATTTCTGCTCATTCTGAACACAGGTAGACTCCCATTTTACCTGCGGATATGAGTCCACCGCAGCGGACATGGACCTCCCCGACGGCGTTCGACAGATCATTGATGAGGCGGGGTTCGGTTTGTTTTGCATGGGGCTGTCGTACCTCATGGTGAATAGGACCCTCTTAGGCGCACTGGTAGAGAGATGGTGGGATACCACCAACACCTTCCATTTCTCTACCACTGGGGATATGACGATGACCCCATATGATTTCGCCATGTTGACGGGCCTTGAGGTGGGAGGCCGACCGATCCCATACGACTTCAATATGGATAAGTGAGAGGCCACTTGGACCTATTTGCTGGGAGCACACCCGCCTATCTTCCAATTAGGGATGGTCCGATATACTTGGTTCCCAGACCACTTCAGAGGGACAGACCCATCGATTGTAAAGAGGACTGAGTAGTATGCCCGAAGTTTCCTGATGTTCCTCTTCGGCACTATCTTGTTCGTTGACAGGGCGAACACAGTCGGAGAAAATCTTTTGAGCACCTTAGTGGACTTATCCCAGGTTTGGCATTATGATTGGGATGGTGCTGGCCTCACTACTCTGTACTGCTACATGAGCTCGACCTCCCGGGGGAGCGAGAACAGAGTACGCGGCTATTGGAGAGCTTGGGAGGTATGCTTTACTTTTCTACTTTACTTTTTCTGCCATGCTTTTTGCTTTGCACTTTTTGTACACTGCACTCACCGCACACTGCACACATATAGTCTAATCTTTGCATTTGTACTTTCTGTACATTATACTACACACCTTGCTTTCTACATTCTCTGTGTATTCTGTATTCTCTACATTCTACATTTTTTGGACATTGCACACATACTCTGTTTTCTGCATTATCTGTGTTTATCTGTTTTCTTACTATCGCTCTCTTGCTTTTGCAGCTATGGGTGTACGCCTATTTCCCGGAGCTTGCTCCAGAGCCAGAGGTTGAGACGCCTCTTGAGGTGCCATACTCGTATCGATACGACGGTCGGTGCTAGCCGAGGACACATGAGACCCTCTTATTCCTTCACCAGTACTTCGACACGGTGATGACGGTAGAGGTAATTCAAAATTCACAGTTCTTCCTGCTTTCAGCTCCAATTCATTTTACATATCTAATGGCAACTCAACAATCTATGCACTTGCTGTCTGCAAATCATATGGCTGCCCTGGGCGATGATGCCAGAGGGTGTTAGGTTTCAGTTTGCCAGAGCTTGGGGCGCTTCTCGGTATCGACTCTTGCTTGAGGGGCCAATAGGCCGAGCCTGGTTTCTAGGCGAGTGCTTCATGCGCCAAACGCTGGGTCTGCCGTTACAGTCGGTTCCCTTACCACCTTCGCCTTCTATGTGAGTCGCAGAGAGTCTCTCCCCTTAGGAGATCATTGACTTCATGCGGGGTGGAGATGTAGACCTTTTCATTGGGGAGGGGGACTATACGACTTATCTCCAGATGTACCTCATGCCTCCTCTGACAGGTGTTCATGCTCACACAGGGAGGGCAGTTGATATCCCTTCGTCGAGCAGGGCCCGAGTAACAGATGCCCCTTCGACGAGCAGGGCCCGGGCACCGAGGAGTAGGGCTAGAGGGATACCCCATGCTAGGTAGAGTTTTGGATGGCCAGACCTTCCGACCGAGCTGACAGGTTGACAGTACTCTGGAGAGGCTTATCAAATCCCGATTGAGCCTCCGTTGCCTAGTCACAGATATGTCAGGACACCCGATTCACAACCGGTATGCATTACAGCTTCCATTTATCGCTCAAATACTCAGACATTCATTCATTCACTGATCATTTCAACTTGCATTTACAGCCCTCCACCGGATACGTCGAGGGGTTACTCGAGGTGTTGTCCTCATTCGAGGGCATTATCTTGAAGAGAAAGACGATGCTTGGCTCTCACAGCATTTAGGTAATTTTTCTATTTTCTTACATTTCGGTAAACATATTTTTGCTGATATACTGAAACTAGCATCTCAACTGAACATTTTCCCACACTGCACTGATACACTGCATATATAGATCACATTTGACACATTACATTCACATACTGTATCTGACTTCTGTATGTACTCATGCTGCGCACCATACTTGCATCTGATACACATACTATGGCTGATATATTCAAACTGCCTTTTTAGGTCACACATCTACAAACAGGACCATTAGAGCCTTCTCTAGTAGCAGGGAGAGAGATTTCGGCACGCGGCTGAGGGAGACGTCGGGAGCCTGTCATGCATGATGATGAGACCAGTGAGGACGAGGATCTAGCGAGTCCCTAGTCAGAGTCATCTGAGGGTGGAGACGACGGCACCGGCTCGGGTTTTGAGAGTGGTGACGATGTTGAGGAGGAATCCCAGGATAGGAGCGGAGGCAGCTCTGGTTCAGGTTCTGGCTCAGATTCGGACAGTGGCGCCGAGGGTGATAGCTCTGAGTCCATGCCCAAGAAGAGGACGAAAAGGGCCTCTCGATCCTGAGATGGGTGGCACCGATTTAGACGTTTTTTTGCCTTGTTTCTCTTTTTGCTAGTAGTGTTAGCACATTGTACAACCTTAGGTAGTTTCATTTTCTTTAAAACTTGTACTCTTTGTAGAAAGAAACCATGATTGGAATGAAAACAGTTTTTTTGAAAACATGTTGCATTTTATATTTTGAGCATCGCATTGCACCATTTTACACAAAAACGGGATTGATGTAAATTGAATATTTGTACATTGTCTTGACAATTGCTCGGTCAGGTAGTGAACCAACCAAAACATAACAAACAAAATAAGATAATTCAATGGACAATGCAACAACTCGACAAACAACAACTCAATAAATGAAACAAATACAACTCGATAAGCAAATTGCAACAACTCGGTAAACAAATTGAAAGAAACTTAAGAGCGACTCAACAAAACTACTAAAACAAAACAGCAGAGCGCATCCAGAGTAGAACAAAACACAGGTTCTCAGCATTCTCAACACACAGGAAGACCAAAGACATTCTGCTGGAGACAAACAGTGGCTGTTGGCCACTTAGTGATGATTGTCAGCCACTAAAGTGGCCAATCGGCTACCGTAACTGGCCGGTCCGCTAGTAATGTAGGGAATCTCCAGATTGTTGTCACCTGCCTTCCACTCAGTGCCTTATCTTTTTGCTTCAAATGGAACCATTCTTCGTTGAAAAACTCTTATCTTGGATTGTAACTTTAGATGGCTCGAAAAAGCTGAATTTTCGGGGTTTTGGGATAAATGCACTATTCCCGCTAAGTCGTATTTCACTATGTTTTCCATTTCTCCATATCGCGACTAGATGTTGGAACCCAGTTACGCATGTTTTCAGCTTCGGGGGGCAAGAGATGTGTCCAACAATCGAAGAATTCCAAGCTTTGATGGAATCCTAACGTGATGAGGAGATCTTGCCCCAGTCGCATTTTGGCCACATCCAGGCTTTAGGAAGGATGTGTGGGCTCACTTTACACGATGCCCGATCTTTAGTTCACAATGGAGGACTTGACATTCCCAATCTCGTTCACTAATTTTCTGACACCGCAACCGCGGTGACCGTCTTTGGCAAAGTTTTCGGCAGCATGCCCTTTGCTTTTGCATGTTGGCTCATTTTCTTCTTGCCCCTGGCTTCGAAGGGTCTAGCATGCGCTTGATCGAAGTGGCCTAAGGCTTGAAAGAGGGCAAGAGCTACATTGACTTGACACTAGCCGAAACTTTAATGGGTTTGGATGCTTTCTATCGCCGGGAGACAACCAAGTTCGCAGGAAGTCCACTACTCTTGTAGGTAATGTTTCCCACCCTTCTCACATGTGTTTCTCACATCACTCGGCCCTCAGGCTTTGTTTTTCTCTCAAAACCCTTTCTCACTTTTCTCTCCACATACACTTCTCTATTCTTTAATCTCTCTTATTTTTTATCCCTCCCCAGATTTGGCTCATGGACAGGTTGAAAGTAGTGCACTCTTGCCCAACATATTCAGTGCGCGGCTATTTCTTTCGCCCACGGCTAGTTGATTTCCCGAACAAGAGATGGTGGTGCCACTGGATGTGCAACAGATCTGCTGTTGACATTACTTGGCGTTGCCCCTGGTTTGATCTGCCTGAGATGAGCTACAACATATCTCACCAGCCTGGCATTCAGTTGATTGTCTTGACACATTGTGTCTTCTATTTTCCCTTCCGGTTCAGGCATCAGTTCAGACATGATCAGACTTGCCCAAAAGAGGGGGTTGAGTACCCGACTTCCTTACTAATCCGAGGCACACAGCTAGCTCGTTATCCTACTGCATAGAGAAAAAGAGAACTTCTGGCTCCCGCTCCCAATTTCAGTTGCGCCCTTTCTGGCGAATGCATAGCTTAGCTTGAAGATGAGGCACAAACTGGGCCTACTTTGGCATCTGAAGCTTTCACAAGCTCTGGGAGGGGACGCAGGAACACCTGACTCAACTATGCCCCAAGTTTATTGCTTTAATCTATACTTTCAAGTTTTCCTTTTGAATGTAATAAAAAGCAACTTTGATTTGTATCAAGAGGTAGAGAACTCTGTATTGAAATCAATGAAATTGAAGGTTATGGGCACTGAAAATTTTCCTTTTGGTCCAAAAATGGTCTAAGTTGTAAAAAGATTAATTTGAACAAAATCAACTTTTATTAAAACTTTTCAAAACCATTTTCGATAAGGATCACAACTGGATACACTCGAAATCTATTGCTGAGATGTACAACCTTGAATCCAATAACTGGAAAGTTGCCCCTTGTCTGAATAGCACTGCACTGCACTATAACCAGCTCTCAGAGTAAAGATCACAACCAAACTCTTGGATGTAGAAAAAAACAAAGATAACCAAAAGAATCTCATGGACACAGCTAATTTGGAAGTGTTTATGGCTGGACTTCAGAATGAAGTTGGCTACGTATCCCAAAGATGGAAATCAAGCCTTACGTAGTTCGGTTCGGGTTCACTTGGGTATTAACACTCTCTTTTGGCGCTCTAACTTTTGCCAAGGCCGCCCTTTTTGGATTTTCAACCTTGCGAGCTCAGTTTTTTCGATTTCAAATTTTCTGTGCTCTAACTTTTGCCTAGGTCGCCCTTTCGAGTTTTTGGCCTAGCGAGCCACTCGAGGGTAGTATTTCTTCAAAACTTGTCCATGTTGATTGGTTGGGAGAACTCTAAGCCATCTAGGTCCATAAGAACGATAGCTCCACCGGACCAAATAGATTTGATGATGTAAGGACCAGTCTAATTGGGTCTGAACTTGCTCCGAGGGTCATGGATGAGAGCTCGATTGTCGTTGAGCACCAAATCCCCTTCTTTCAGATTCCTAAACTTAACTTTCTCATTGAAAGCCCTGGCAATCCTTTGTTGATATCCTTGGACGTGGTACAGTGCTTTCAGCCTTCTCTCGTCAAATAGCATTAGTTCCTCAAACCTGCTCTACTGCCAATCCACTTCTCCTATCTGGCACTCAGCCATAACCCGCAGTGATGGAACCTCAACTTCAATCGGACAGAGCAGCCTCCATCCTATAAACCAGAGAATACGGAGTTGCCCCAGTAAATGTCTGAATTGATGTCCTGTAGCCCCAAAGAGAAAAATGGCAACTTGTCTGGCCAGTCCCTGTAAATTTCCACCATCTTCTGTAAAATGTGCTTGATGTTCTTGTTGGTAGCCTCAATAGTTCTATCGATTTGCGGCCGATATGTGGATGACTTATGAAAAGCCACGTTGTATTTTTTCAAAAAGTTGATCACTTCTTTCTTGAAGTGGGAACCATTGTCCGAGATGATCTCATTCGGGACGCCATAGCGACAGATGATATTATTCCTAATGAACTTGGCTACATGTGGCGCTTTTAGCACTGTGTAGGATTGGGCCTCGACCCACTTTGTAAAGTAGTCTATTGCCACCAGGATATACTCATGCCCATTTGATCCCTTTGGAGTAATTGCCCCAATAAGATCAATTCCCCAGACTGAAAATGGCCAAGGTGAAGTCATGTTGTACAGCCTCGAGGGCGGGATATTCATGCGATTTGTATGAATCTGACATTTGTGGCATCGTCAAACAAAACCGATACAATCCTCCTCCATAGTTGACCAGTAATAACCCTGTCTAAGAATCTTCCGAGCTAGCATCACTCCGCTCATGTGAGACCCGCACTCTCCTCCGTGGATGGCCTCCATTAGGTGCTTTGACTTTTCTACATCGACACACAATTTATGCATTCCCAGATGGCCCCGTTTGTACAATTTACCCCTGCAGATGATAAACTGAGCAGCCATCCATCGTATTGCCCTTTATCTTTGGCATTTTTCCCTGGTGGATAAACCTCATTTTTCAAGAAGTTCCAGATATCATGGTACCAGGGGCTCTGATCTTGTACTTCTTCTATTGCGGCGATCAGCTCGTAGGCCAGCACATACCTCTGTTTAATGATGATCGGACACATCCAGACTTCCAAAGGGATGCCTATCATGAAAGATAGAGTTGATAAAGCGTCAGCGAACCTGTTGCTCTCTCTTAACAGATGTGTGAAGGTTAGCTTCTCAAACCTAGGAATCAGAACGTCTAGGGTTTGGTGATAGATTTTCATCTTTTCTTCCTTAACCTTCCAGTCTCTTTTCGCTTGAGACACAACCAGGTTCGAGTCCCCAATGACGTCCAACCGTTTTGCCCCTAGTTCCAGGGCAGCTTCTAAGCCAGCGATACATGCCTTGTATTCTGCTTCGTTGTTTGATACCTTGAACCAGAGTTTGAAAGCTAAAGGTATGTGGGAATTATCGGGCGCTATCAGCAGCACCCCTACCCCATAACCGTACTGATTAGACGCTCTGTCAAAGTACACGGTCCAAATCTCTTCTTCGACTTACAGAATGGCCTCATCCGGGAATGAATATTCTACTGCTTCATCTCCCTCCACTGGGTGATCGGCTAGGAACTCTGTTACCGCTCTCCCGTTCACAGACTTGCGAGTGTGGACTCGACTTTCTTCGCGCCCCCTTTCGGAGAGCTCGAATTGGTTCTACAGTTCGGACTCCTGTCACGGTTCTGAATCAAATCTCACAAAGTGCATTGTGAAATTGATAAATACCAAAGAGTCCAATCCGACAAATCATTTTGGAAAATCAGATTTTAAATCAAATAATGTCAAAACTGGACCGCTTTTCCAGATTACAGAGTCGCCACCTAAATATTTCATTTTTGAAAAATTTAGGAAACCCTGACTCGTGCCAAAGGCCACGTGTCCGTCATCACCAAAGTTGCCTCGGTTCGGGAACTTGGGTAGGAGAGGGGCAGGTCCTGAAATGAGCACCCCCACTCGCCCGATCAAAGATCGGCCTCTACTAAACATGATATGTTGTTTTTATAAACACGTGTTCTTATTCTAGTTAGCTAACTTTACTATGTGACGCACACAAGCAAGTATAGACTAAGTCGCAAGACTTGGAACGAATTCAACTCATGTTTGCTTTCGAAAATTGTTTGAATTTGCCACACTCAAGTAGACTAAAGCGTGGATTTTCTATCAAACATGATGGGCTTAAAACATGATTTGCCACTTCGCAAAGTGGGCTTAAAACTCACAATCATCGAATTGTCCCAATTCAAGC